TCCTCATCACCGTCTCCTCTCTGCTTGACTCCACCGCTCCGCTGCATGTGTGCTGTGACGGTGGCTCCACCCCCCCGAGGAGTGGAGCCCACAACATGAGTTCATAAAGCTGGCGCCATCTGCTGGATAGGTAGCGCTATATCGGCCATATCGGCCGTCTTTATGGCCGATAGCCGATAGAGTTAATGACCCCTATATCGGCCGATAATATCGGCCGGCCGATATATCGGTCGGGCCCTAGTTAATATTGATACAATTAGCTATGAAACACGGTGCCTTTGCAATAATTCTCTGGTAAAGCTTTAAACGCTACAGTGCCTACATTTAAGAACTAAGAACGGTTGCAACAATTAGTTAATTTCATCCTTATCTTTCTTTCTTTATCTATCATCCTTATCCTTACCTTTCCTTAATTGAAACCCGCCGAGTATGGTTGAAAAAAAAAACAACGTAGCGGCCGCCAAAAAAAGACCAACTTCCTGCCGAGGTCTTTCGCTCGTCGATTTTCCGGTAAAAGTAATGACACGCCATCTTGCTCTCGACACACCAGCTGATGTCTGCAGCCAGGTCCTACTCACTTCCAGTAGCTGATCTTAAAGTTAAAACAATAATGTTTATTACTTTGCAGAGGTGTGGACTCGAGTCACATGACTTGGACTTCAGTCAGACTCGAGTCATTATTTTTAATGACTTCTGATTTGAATTGATAAAATCTATAAAGACTTACGACTCGACTCAGACTCGAACACCAATGGCTTGCGACTTGAATCGACTTGCATCTGTTGACTTGATGATGCTTTGAGCATGTTTGATATTTTGTCACTAAAGTGGCACGATATGGACAAAAATCATGAATCATTCTTGGCTCTGGGTTTGATTCACTGCTAACTGCAGCAGCACTTTGTTTATAATCAGTTTCAGTTGCACTTCCTGCTTGTTTGAGCAAATAAATGAAGCTTTAAGAAGCTTTATTTCTGGAATTCATTTATTATCATTGTCATTAAATTGAAGCTGGACAGATGACTTGATTATGAATTGAAAATTCAAAGTTAAGGACTTGAACTTGACTTGGACTTCCAGATCATTGACTTTGGATTCGACTTGGACTTGGTTGTCTTTGGCTTGGACTTGACTGGAAAGACTTGTGACTTGCAAAGTAGTGATTTGGTCACACCTCTGTTACTTTGTTATAGTTTTAAATGGGAACCAGGTCTTTTGTCAGATGTATATGTAAACATTTTGAAAACGTATTGCTTCAAAACTAGAAGATCTTGAGATTTAATCCTTAAATCCTTAAAAAACAACCTTTTTCTGTTACCTAATGAAGGCAGAACACTTATGAAATGGTCTAGTTGACTACACTAAATTTAAACATTACTTATTTTGTTACTTCCTGCGTGCAGGTGGGCTACTGAGTCTGTTGACATGCCTGCCCATATGTTAAGCTTGTTTAGTTGTTTGTGATATGTAGAACAACATTATACACCCGTTTCATTCATTAAATATTAATTATTCTATATATTAACGTCTCTTATTTAATGTTTCTCCTATTTTCAACAAATCAAAAGTTGAAAAATTAAATTTCCACAGTAAAACAAAAGTTTTCTGTTGGATTGTTTTCTTTGGAGGCTTGCAGTGCGCATGCGTGTTAATGGCATTAGCGGAAGTTCTTGGTAGACGACGGCAAACGTTTACTAAAATGTAGATGGACGAGGCAAACGAAAGCTGACAGAAATGTGGAACCTGTGGGCCCATACGCGACTGGGTACATCAGTGGGCCGACCTTTGGAGACTTGTGAAAGGACAGCTGCAGATTACAAGCAGGAAAAGACGCTTTTTAAAGAAAATGAGCGACAAAACAGAAGGTTCGGGTGCTGTTTTCAACCCCAACGATCCACCACACAGACCAGGTTTGTATGTGTGTGACGTTATTAGCTACACTTTTCTGGTAGTTAATAGATTTAGCTTTAAAACAACGTGTCAATCAACTGTTTGTAGCTTAGCGTGCTAACCGGTTGACAACTATGACAACGTAAAAAGAGCAGAAAAACTACGTAAAGAGTCTGAAGTGATTTTAGCAGTGGTGGGCAGTCAGGGCCAGCAAAGCCTTCTCTGCTGGCCTAAACGTACTCAAAAACGTAAATGTATTTATTTTCCTTTGGTAAATATTTTTAAATTAAAAAAAGTTCACTGGTCTATTTTCTTTATATCCTATTATACCCACTCGGCCGCACTGCTTCCAGTGTTAAAATACCAAGGCTGGGTGTTATCCAATCAGATTTAAGCTAGCTTGTGTTTTCAGGCAGATTAAGTCTGCTTTAGGCCTTCAGAATCAATCGAGAAGCCCGCTGTCCGCTGTAAGTGAACAGAGACGATCTAGTTGCGATAGCCAATCAGCTCACGAGTCAGCGTGGCTCAGGCCAGCTAGCTGGCCTCACGCAAAAGTTGACATGAACGCATCCTGTGATTGGATAAGCAGTAGTTAGAACTTTTCTAGCGGCATGAAGCAAAAATATCAAAACTAAACACAGAGATTTGTATCTATAGGCAGCTATCGGTGTATTTTTGAACACATGATGGCTGAAAGAGGAGAAGGGACGGACTTGGTGGCAGATTTACTTGCCACACCATTTTCCAGACGGACCTTTCAAGAAAAAATGGATATTGTGAGAACAGGTCGTCCGACTCCAATGCTAGCTGGCTTGTCCCAGCAGGGGAAAGGATTTGTTCGTCATTTTCAGGCAAGCAACTATGAACGGTACCCATGGCTAACAGCTTCAGAGAACCGCTGCAGGCTATTCTGCTGGGAATGCCTGTTGCTCGCATCAGATGGATTTGGTAGCATTAAAGCGCGTTAAAACGTACACCAGAAACACGACCGGACAGACACGTCTTTCAGCATTAGCCTCCATGTCCATAGAAAAGGATCCACTCATGGACCTGAAGCACACAGATAAACTGTACAGAGCCACTGAGGTTTTCCTGAGGAAAGAAAGAAGGATGGATTTTATTTTCTAATGAGCAGGAGAGGAGGAGATCCATGCTGGACATTTATGTTGGTGAGTAGAAACATTTTATTAGTATTTTTTTAATGTTTTGTGATTTTATTTTGTTAATAATAAATGGTAACGAAATAAAATGGCTAAATGAAATAATTCTATGTGTTCTGTTTCTATGCAATTTATATTGTGTATGACGTGGTGTGTGCAGCTGCGCCAACATGTTCAGTTGTTTCGCGGTGCAATTTTCTCCAAAACAAATGCAAATAATGTGTTTGCTTTACTTATTTATTTTATTGTCTCATCTCTTAAACCCATCTTTAATTTTTGAGATTTGACAGTATCCGTGGTCTTAGTTTCCTACTCTCAATTGGGAATGTGAGTTTGATTTTAAGGGCTCCGGAAATGACGTCTTACCCAGCCACTAGTGTGTGTGTGTGTGTATGTGTGTGTGTGTGTGTGTGTGTGTGTGTGTGAGAGAGGTTTCTCCAGCTGTGATGTCCTATTGATGGTATTTTAAGGTGTGTTTAATTTAGATTGGACTGAATAGGAAATCACTGAAGGCCCAGGTGTGGAATGCACCGCCCGCCACTGGATTTTAGCAGCTGGCTGCTAAGTCACATCTGTTAATAACCGCATGTCACACATCCAGTGTGTTTCTCCTGTTATCCTATAGTTTAGCATTTAGCTGCTGGTTTGTTTAACGACAGCTGTGATACAGTCATGTTACATGGCCCAGATCTAAATAAATATCTTGCTGATCTGAAAAAGCGGGTGTGTTTCAAAGCTGACCCAACAGACAGTTCTATAGGATGTAAACAGACAAACTATGCTTAAAATAGAAGAATGGCATAAAGGTTACAAAGGGTCACTTAAAAGAAGTCATAAAAAACATCAAGTTTTAACTTTCAAAACTTTGCAAAGTAATTTAGCCCCCCAAAAAAAGCAGGAATAACTAAATGCTCTAAAGTAGAAACTCTGTTTTCATGGAGTTTTTCACTTTATTTTAATAAACACTGCGGCTCTCACAGGAAAGATTCTTTGCCGTGTCTTTTTTTCATGCACAGATACAATTCCTCAGCTAGAGCATCTCAGAGTCCATGAAGGTCTTCATGAACCCAGGAAGTCAGGCATACAGCAACAAGAACGTTCATCAAAAGCTTTTAAAGTTCGCAGGAAACCCCTAAAACCATTTGTTCTACAAAATGAGTTCACGGAGGACATATCTGATGTATTCTGAATATGTTTCCTTGTTTTACACATGAATGTTCATCATGTATCATTAACAGTTTGTCAGCACGCCATCTAAATATCACCAGACAGATGCCTTATTACAGCGATGAAGGCATTTCACAAGGTTTTACAACATCCAGGACTGGACCGGGCTGTGACTTAAGTGGCTCAGTAAAACTAGTTTTATATGTGATTAGAAAATGAACATTGAGATTGGTGTTGTTTCCATTTTCCATGCAGATGTTCAGCAGATGGTGCTAATCAAAGAAGAAGCTCCTAAAGATTGTAAACCTGACGTAAATGAGCAGGATCCAGAGCCTCTCAGCATAGAGGAGGAAAGAGAGCATCGTAATTGGAATAGAGTGACTAAATCTTTGTCTGAGGTTTCATTGAAAAGTGATGAAGATGAAGATAAACCTCTGTTCTCACAGCTTTATCGGGATCAGGTGGAGGGCAGAGATTTTTCAACCAGCAGCTCAGCTGATCAGATGACAGCAGAGGTTGGAGGAGCAGAAACTACTAGTGATCCAAATACCGATGAAGATGATTCCACCGCTTCAGAGACAGAAGTCAGTGAGGATGACAGAGCTGGAGACAGTCCTGATTTTCAGCTGAATTAATTTCCAAACTCAACGTCAAAACACAAGGATTGTGACAAAGACTGGAAGAAGAGCAGAGCTGAGTCCGGTGGAAAGGTTGTCCACAAATATTTTAACTGCTCCGAGTGTAATAAACAATTCCTCCACGACCGAACTCTTCAGAAAGTTGTGTATTCACCAAGGAGTGTGTTATGAAGAAGTCATGCAGAAAAATCCAGACAGGACATAAATCATTTAGTTGCGCTGACTGTGGTAAAATATTTACCAGAAAGGCTAATTTAAACAAACACGTGAAAATCCACTCAGGAGAGAAACCGTTTTCCTGCCATGTTTGTGGATCCAGATTTAATCGAAAAACAAATTTGAACACACACTTGATAATTCACACAGGAGAGAAGCCATTTGCTTGTGATTTTTGTGGTCTAACGTTTCGGGTTAAGATCAATTTAATCACACATGTGAAAGTCCACACGGGTGAAAAACCATTCGTTTGTGGTGTGTGTGGATGGAGGTTTAGTGAAAAGACGAGTTTAAACACACACGCAAGAGTCCACACAGGGCAGAAACCGTTCGTGTGTGATGTTTGTGGACATCAGTTTAGACATAAGACTGCTCTGAATGAACACATGAGAATCCACACAGGAGAGAAACCGTTTGATTGTGATGTTTGTGGACAAAAATTTAGGCTTCGGTCACATTTAAACTCTCACTTAAGAGTTCACACAGGGCAGAAACCATTTCCATGTGATGTTTGTGGGCAAAGGTTTAGCATTAGAACCAATTTAAAAAGACACACGAGCACACACACAAAAGGAAAGGCAGTTTCACTGGGATTTTAAGACCCTCTCATTAACAAATGAGAATTTGCGCAATATTGAAACTATTTCAGTGATCTATGTGAACTTGGGACGATCTAATCCAATCACGATTAAAAATTGGGCCAGAATCACATGTTTTTATTAAATCCCAGCCTGCCACTAATACTCAGTTTATTGCAGCAACACAGGCAAAAACACTGAGACAGTCGACACTGAAAGATTTGTTAATAAACAGAGAAATTGCAGACCGACATGAAAATGTCAGGTTTTGCAGTCGGCTGGAACGGCGCAGCAGGTGTTGTGCAGAGAACAGTTAGCCTGCCAGCCGTGGTGCCACGTGCTACCCAGTCGCGAAAATGCTCATCACTCAATACAACCACAAACTGAGGACGTATGACGAGGCTACCTTTAAATATATTCATAACACGTTTCTTATCAGTGTACTTCCTGTGTGAGTGCTGTTTTCTGGCAGATAAACTAAAGTAATGACAAATACAAAAAGTAAGGAAATAATTTTAATAGTAAAAAACTTAAAGGACAACTAGGATGTGTCCTCTATTTCTTTCTTATTGTGATGCATCGCTGAAGTACCAGATCAGGACCCTCTATCGGCAGATACTCAAATCAAATGACTCCGACTCGGGTCAGGAGCAAAAACTGTGATCGGAACATCCCTAGTGTAAAGTCTTTATGTTGTGATGTTTGCCCACTACTGTGGTTATTTTATTCGTTTTTATGAAAGGTAATTGTTCTGTTTTTTTTTATTTTGCATTACGCCTCATAATTAGTTTTAGAAACACTTCTCGGTTTACACCACCAACAGTTTGTATACAGGTCCCCGTATGGGTACCTTCTACCTTACTTCACTCCAACCTCTGTCAGAAATCCTGGTGTGACCTTTGACCCAGCGCTCACTCTGTCAGTCATTTCTCTTGTTTGTTCTTCCTACTTTCACCTCAGAAACGTTGCTTAGTTGAGTCACACTCAGAACTTGAGGTGGTCTACTGCAACTCAGTTTTCACTCCCTGACCCGAGACCTCCAAGCACACCCACGTCACCCCGATCCTCTTCCAGTCTCACCGGCTGCCAGTTAAGGCTGATTTTTATGTCTCTGTCAGCTCCAGCATGGAGTCACGCAGACACATTTGCAGAGATGTTTTCCCTTCAGACGTCTCCACCACCTGGGGAGTGTAGTCTTCCTCCTGGGCAACAGAGGGCGTAGTGCTGTTCTGTGGTGTCCTGTCACCATTACAGTCACATATCCAGTCCACGATGATGTATTTACTATTTTCTCTACATTGTGTCTATGCATTTCAGAGACTTTTTAACACTGACAAATTTGTCACTTCTAAACCCAAGTCAGTCATTTCCATTCACAGATAAAATGCTAGCTTCTTATCCTTTTACTCCTTCAGTCACGGGTGAATAAACATTCATATTTTTGGACTTTTTCCATGAGGTATTCTTCAATCCGCTCCGTTTGACACTAGATATCTTGGGCTCTCTCAATATTCTGGAGGAGGCTGTGGTGATGCTGTTGATGAAGTTAAAGGAAGCAGCGTCCTGACCAATCACAAACTTTTGGCGGATAGTTAAAAAGTTGGGCATGTCACAGTCACCTTCAGTCCCCTGAGGTCCAGTGACCAAAGCCTACTGGTTTTTGCAGCACCAGGCTAGTGGCCAAAGGTGACAGATCATCTGCTGCTGTGGTCCCCAGACTAACTCTCTCCCCCTGAGATCAGTGGACTCAGTGGTCTCCTTTAAAAGCAGCTGAAAGCTCACCTGTTCAGGCTGGTTTTGTGTAACCTTTGTCACCACCCTCCCCTTATTCTGCTCTTCCTACCAACTCCGTCTTTCCCGGGATCCACTGATTACCTCTTTCTTGTTCATTTTCTCTTTCCTTTTACTTTTTTAATCACAATTTAATATTTTTAATCATCTTTTAAAAAAAGTTTAATTTTATTTTTGGAATATTTGTTGGTGTGAAGCGCCTCGTGATTTTTATCTAGAGAGGCGCTCTATAAAAGATTTTCTTCTTCAAAAGTCTATTTAAGTAATTCAACTAAAGACAGAGACTATATTCAGGAATCCTTTGCAGGTGTTTTGTATTCATTAGCTGATGAGTGTGACACTTTTAGCCTTGAAATTTTCACAATATTCTAATTGGGATTTAGAAATTTGTGTTTCCTTGGCTGTAAGCCATATTTATCATTATAACAAATAAAGGGCTTTAATTTCTGGCTTTGCATGAAATGAGTGTCTCCCAGATTAGTTCTGCGTTTTAAGTTGAATTACTGAAATAAATGAACTTTTAGTCCACTTTTAGTTTCACTTGTAGATGAAAACAAAGTGCTGAAACTTGTTTTCTTAGATCCTCCACAAACAAATCTTTTAAAATACCAGCACCTTTATTTTATTGATGCCATTGGTGCAGAAAAATCTAGTCCAGGTTGAATGAGATGTAGTTCTGCATAGATGCAGAAAAAATCTGAAGGAAAAACAGGAAACAGTTACAAGATATTCAAAGCAGCTGAAGTCCATACGTTGGTTGTAGCCATGAACTCTTTCAAGTATTAGAGTATTAAAACTGATTTTATATTACTGCTCCATGTTGTCCAGCATTCAAGGTCGAAAACAGAGTTTCAGATTGTGATAGTGAGCTAAATTGTTGATACGTTATCACGTCCCCGACATGTGTTGTTAAAATGTGAAGGAGGGGGTAACATAAGAAACGTGACAGTGGATTTAAAATGGGTTTAATTGCCATAAAAGGTTTTAAAAACAAGCGAGCAAACCGATGGAGAGCATTATTAAAATAATGCCTAACAAAAATCAAGACTTAAAGTTTAACATTTAAAGGACCACTTATCAACATTAAAACCCCTGGTTAAAATTTTGTTAAGTTTTACCAAAACAGAAGGTGTTTAAAAAACACAAGTTGATAATAAAAACCGACGCACTACGAACACACTGAGTGTTTTAAAATCCCAAAGTCGGTAAACTACGATGTTAACCTTAAAATCAGTACATAAACCAAAAAGATCACATGGATCTTCTAAAACACACAAACAGTGTTTAAAACAAAGCGAAAGGCTTGGAGAACAGCAGAACCCCTAGACCGCTGAAGGCACAGCCTTTTTATCCCAGGTGTGGGTCAGCAGAGAGATTCATCTCAGCTGTGCTCCTCAGCAGCCTGGAAGAGAGGAGGAGGAGGGGCGGTGTCTGGCTGATCACCGTGCTGGGTGATCCTGGCTCCTGAACCTGAAGAGGCCAGGCTGGTGGCCATAACATGTGTTTTCTGGGAGCATATTTACCACCACACTTACAAAAGGAGGAAAAACCAGCTGATTATGAACATAACTAGTGTGAAATACAAGCTGTCTGACTTTCTTTTCTACAGCTCAGTTTCTGACTATTCTGACCTGTTGTCAGAAAAATATTAATCACCTATTAAACTTTAATGATCACTTTGTTGTACTTTAGGCGATGGAGCAGATTTCAATAGAAATGTCCAAATGATCTAAATAATATATAAATAAATGATCACTATTTAGATGTTACTTTCCTTCTTTGTTTTTGACTTTTTTGAAAACACGAAGCAAGTAATATATCTTATTCAAACTGTACCAGTGTGTGTTTGAGTCATGGCTGCTGATGCTTGATCACCCAACTGATTCGTTTCATCTTTTGAATCATTTAGATATAAATGTGTGAAGTTTCCATGAAGAAACTGTGGGTCACGCATAAAACTTGTGTTATCTCAATAGGGAGAGTGAGGTACAATACATCTGGTAGGTCCAGTGAGACTCCTGCAGCACCAGGAATCAAGACTCTCCAACAATTAGGCTCATCTCCCGCAGTCCACCCAGCACATTATGAGCTTTGGTGTGCTGAGAGTCAGAATCGTGTTGTTTTGTATGCCTTCTTTGGGGAACATTGTTCTATATTATTACTGTCAATAATAATATTATAGTTCATTTTATCTAACAAGTATTTAACTCATGGAAAGGGTACATTCTGGAACATCAAACAATGACTGATGGTCCCACCCTCAGTGCAGCAGCTCGGTACGATGCTGCAGAGAATTGTTACGACCCAAGCTGCCTGTGCTATGCAGAAGGGTGGGACTTAAGAAGACACGTTTGAGATGTTAAGGGTGAACTGGATTTATTTTGGTCTCAGGGGTAGCAACTACCTGGACCCTCACAAGTAAAGAAATAGATCCCTAAACTAATCACAATAAATAGCTCCAACTGAAATACCTCTTTCAAGAATGTCAGATAAACTAAAATGAACCCTTAGAGGAGAAAACACAGAGGCCCAGAACACTTGATTTCAAAAACTAACTAAAGCTATGCTGTTTTAAAATGAATAAAGAAATAAATAAAGCAGTGAGAACTCCAGAGAGATCATAGCTAAAGTGACCTTAGATTTATCAAACCAAAGTAAGTAGATCACTAACACTAAAATCCAAAGTTCTAAGCTATCCATAAACAATCTAAAATATTTACTAAATCTAATTTATTCAAACTATCCACCAAGTGGTTTTCAAAAGCCTAAGGTTTAACCAAGTATTATGTTCTCATGAACACGGAGAGCAAGACTAGAGCACAGATCTGTGTCCACACTGGCAATCTGCTCCCATTTAAAAGGTACCACTCGTCGTTAGCCATCATCAGGGTGATTCGTCCAGCATGGAGCTGTCCAAGGTGCTGATTTACTTGGTGAGTTCTACGTTTGTCAAAATGATGATCACCAAATCTTTGTTGGACTGAGATCTCAGTTATTTATGACAATCTTAAATTTACATTTATTTGATTTCTTATTTATTTGGTTAGAACATTTCACAAGGCACAACCAGAGGAAAAGAAAAGTAAATGAGAAAAAAGACAGAAACAAGATATTTACACACAAACAATCCCTGACTTCTCCTGTAAAAGAGCAAACACTCATAGTTTATATTCAAAAGGATAGACTGAAGTTTTATTTAAGTCTACCCAATACGGACCCAATTTGATAAAAAAAACTGCAACTACTGACAAAAAGAGCAATGAAGTGCAAACATCTGTAGTAGAAAGAAATATACTGCTGTGAACGTCCACAGCCTGCTGCATAAGGAAGACAGCCAAATGCGTGTCTCACGTTCCTGTGTGAGAATGTGCAGCCCTGATAAAACGTAAACCCACTTCAGATTCGGTTCTCTGTGTCTTGAATCTTTTTAGCTGGTAAAACAAGCTTCTTGGTGAGTGAGATCTACAGAGAAAGGTTTATTATTGGTGTGAATGACCTGCGAGTTTGTTTATTAACACAAACAAACTCTCTGGGCATGTCTTGTGATTTAGTTTCAATAAATTTCCCTCAAAATTTTTATCTGATTGTCCCGTTTCTATAATAATAAGCAGTGCTGTAAGTCGACCGGATACTTTTACCTCGCAACGCACTTTTTTCTTTCTGCACCATCTGCACGTGTGATAGAGTAGAATGACTTTCACCAGCATACAGAGAGCTGCAGTAGTCTGACTGGGAATGAAGGCGTGGAACTTCTAAAAGTCTTTTGTAGATAGAAAAGATCTAACTTTAGACTTTAACAACACTGCTTATTTAAGTTAAAATGGAAGTCTTTGGTATGACCCAACCATGGATTTGAACCTACAACCTCCCAGTCTAAGGGCAGACATTCATAGCACTAGGCCACTGAGCTGACTGAACACTCCTACTGCAGTGGGAATGAATGACCTGTGGCAGGGGTGGACTGGCCTATCTGGCATTCTGGCACTGTTCTGGTGGGCCGCTTAGCCAAGTGGGATGCTTGCCCAGCTTAGGCTGACACTACTCCATAGTTGGTGATCTGCAGAACATTAGCTACACGGTAACCCGAAGCTAACAGAGTTTTCCCAGGCGTTTTTAGCAAGAAAAACATGGTAGAGCGATGACGTAGGAGTTGTTTTACCATGCTAGCATGTAACTGATGTCCCGCTAATCTCCGCCCGTGGAGAATGAGCTGATCTGGAAGGCCAGTGCTCCCAGTCGCAGCGGCCTGGCCCTGCTTGTAATTTAACAGTCCCAGTCCGTATTTGATCTCACATTCGGCCTAGAGACGAGTCTGCGGGTGGCAACACCCCTACCCCCACCGCTCTCCCAATGGGGAGGGCCGACTGAGCGCCGACGATTTGTAAAAATGCCAGGGCCGAATTTTAGTCCCAGTCCACCCCTGACCTGTGGTTGTGTTCTGTTTTACATCTTGGATGTCTCAGGCCTAGTCCACACGTAGCCGGGGATCTGCCAAAACGTAGATATTTTTCTACGTTTTGGCCTGTCATCCACACGAAAACTGAGTTTTTTCACACGAAAACGGATCTTTTTAAAAACTCCGGCCAAAGTGAAGATCTGCGTTTTCTCCGTTTTGGGTGTCTGCGTGTGGACAGACAAAACCGGAGTTTTAAGGTCCGCAACGTCACTTTCCGCCACAAAAAAATGCTGACATCACGTGTGCGACCTGTGTTTACACTAGCCGACAGCATGGATGCCCTCAGAGCTGCGCTCGCTTTATCAATTGTCCAAGCGCTTTCTGCTTGTTTGTTTTTGCAAGCGGAATTACTGCTCCTTGCGGAAGACCACAGACGAAGGACGAGGTTAAGAACGGGGGAAGTACTGCCGCCTACAGGTCTGGAATGTCCTTAACAACGTATTTATCCGGGTACGTGTGGACAGAGTTTTTTTTTTAAATGAGGTGGTGTGGATGCAAGTTTTTGGAGGGGCGGATATTCGTTTTTAAAAAAACCCGGCTATGTGTGGACTAGGCCTAAGCTGAGAGGGAGAACTAAAACATGACCTAAGAATAATAACAATGCCTAAAGTCTAGAAAAACAAATAATTAAAGATCTAAGGACAACTAATTAACCAGAGGGGAAGGAGCAAGGAGGAACCTAGAAGAAAAAACCTGAACCTAACAAAACTACAGGGAAGGAACAGCTAGATGATACAAATAAATCAAGAATAAGTAAACCTGGGAAACCTAGTGGGAGCTGGAGGCCAGAAGGGGCACAGGAAGCTGGGTACACGTGAGGGGGGATTCTAGAAAACACCTGGAGGGGTTGGAGAACTAAAGGGGCCAGAACCTGGGGGGACACCTGGAGGGAGAACATGGAGGGGGCTGCAGACATGGAGATACATGAGGACACAAGGAGACACATAAGGGAAACCTAGAGAATGATGGAGAACACAGGGAGACACATGAGGGAGACGCAGGACGCAAACCATGACAAAGGGACCTCTAAGGGATATATATATATATATATATATATATATATATATATATATATATATATATATATATATATATATATATGAGGAGGAGGAAGAAGAGAAGAATGCAGGAGACCATCACATCACCACACGTACATGCCATCACATGCACATAGCGCCTTGGGGTGTGAGTCAGTTCAGGGGATGTGGGGATGGTTCCCCTGCAGTTCTGTGGTTACCTGCTCCCCTATTTTATTTTGCAATTTAAACACTTCCACCAACGACATTCCACACGAATGTACTTTTAGGACCTTGGGGGTGAACAC